TTTTGTTTGTCTCCAGTCAGAGCAGAAATATGAATTGATTAAGCAAACTTATCGGTTACACGGCATGTTCTCTAAGGATGGACGCCCTATAGCAAGTTCCAGACGACTGTAAACAAAATCCGGCAGCATATTTACGTAGCAACTGAGTGTCCAGTAATAAAAAAATTAAAATAACCCCTTGAGCTATGTAGGAAGGATTTCAAGCAGAAAGCTTCCCCTGGATAGAACGCCTACTTTGCCAGTTTCGATCCCGTTCTACAGAGCCAAAACATAAGACATTTGCAATATTTTAAAAGTCTACCTGAAAATTATATAATCCAAACTGACTAAAGTTGCATTCAATAATAAACACAAAAATGCCTCTTAGTTGTGAAAATTACGGTTACTTTACACGTATACACTCACGGGGCACTGCACCGCCTTCACACGTAACAATATATTGAACGGACAATCAGTTAGCTAGGCGAAATCTGCCAGCCTCCAGTGTTCTAAGAAAGTCTACTGGAGCTCTGAGATATACAGTTAGAGACCTAACTCATGAAGTGTGTCGAAATTTGCGAATGATTACCAATCACTCGCAAACCGATACCATTTCATGAGTCCAGTGTCTATGTTAATTACGTACAGGTTTAAAAGAATTAAAAACATAAAAGAAATATTAAAGGCAGTGTCACGTTATTTAGAAATGCCGATTTATTTTGAAAAGCCCAATATCCCGAAACTGTCAGAAATGGCTCTAATTAAGTAAAGTTCTTTTTTAGATGTACAGAATGTATTCTCATAAAAAAAGGTAACAAATATGAAAATAGACATAAATAACGTCTAATATCAGTGTTTTAATGAAGTTTACATCTAAATATCGTTTAATTGGTAGTGTGATTTCATGTATGATGGATTGTCAACTACCTACATTCCGAGTGTAGATTCCAAAACCGTCTTCCAGCTTTTTGTGTTATCCATGTGTCTTTCTAGTTACATGAGATGAGATTCAACAAGGGAAACTGGATGAAACACATTTCGGTAACACATTATTGTCGAGACACCTGTGCAGAAACCGGATTTGCGAATACGTAGAGGCCTCCCGAAGGTCAAAGGTTTCCCGTCGCCGGGCCGATCGGAGCACATCGCGCCCAAATACATTGGCAATAGAAGCGAAGAGCCGAGTCCCAGGAAGTAGTCTTGAAGAAGGAGACACGATCGCCGGGACAAGAGCTTTATTAGCCTGACGTTTCGGATTCCTACTCGAATCCATCATCAGAGACACGTGATGAAATTGCAGCAATTATCGACTCGAATGTCGGCCATCAAACAATGATCACACCAAGTGCGACAATCCCGGATGGAGGGGGGAGCCGTGAACGTTCATAGGTATGCGGAAGCATGGCTACTGCATCCTATAAATACCGCAGCCCCTTGTGCAACAACCACCCGTGTCTGCCCTTTTGTCTCTGATGATGGATTCGAGTAGGAATCCGAAACGTCAGGCTAATAAAGCTCTTGTCCCGGCGATCGTGTCTCCTTCTTCAAGGTTTGTCAACTGCTTACATTCTGAGTGCAGATTCCAAAACAGTTTTCCCAGTGAGCCCTCTTTTTTTTACTTCACTCAAGTAAATAAGATGGGGTTCAACAAGAGAAGCTGGATTTTGCTTGATTTCTCCGATGGGGACGTTGTAGCGAACAAACGTTTTCATAAGGTGCCATGCCATGAGGCCGGCCGGTGCTTAATAAATTTAAATAGAACTGACAGGCGTGGTCGTAAACATACCATTTTCTGTTTATAGAGAGAACATTTCGTTCTTGTTCGATTGCGTTGAGTTTCAGATTGGCCTCGAAATGTTGCTGAATACTTCATGATTTTTAGTGCTTTCACCCGATCGTACATAGAGACAGATTCTGAATTATCTCTCTGTTGAGAACTTTAAAATAAGATTATTCTTGAAGGCATTTACCGAACTAGTGAGTGTTCGGGCGCTACTTTTCACGAAGCTGGTCGTTTGGGTCACATGTGAGGACTCATTCAAACATAAAAGTTCATTTTCGAGAAAAATGTCTGTCCACAACGAAAGTCAGCAACGAATATGCCTTTGATCAATAAAAAATCTCTTCTTAATAAGTTATCTCTTCAACAAGTGCTTTATTACTGCACTTCGTTGGCGGATCTCTGTGTACTTTGCATTTTTGCATGGCGAGGCCAAGTAAAAATTTGACACTTTTGGCCGCTTACCGTGGTCAAAGGTTGACTAACCACATACAACTTTCGGCGCCCTACCGCTCTTGCCGAGCCTGTAATTTAAAACCTAACTTTTATCGATTTTGTTTCACTCACTGTACCCCGCCCTATGTAACTGTATTGGCCTGATGAGAATTTACCGAAAGGAACGTTCACTCGCCACTCTCTCTTCCTAATATATTTCTACCGTGAACGTAGGAACATGCCTTTTTCTATACATTGAGGCCATTTCCACTGTTTTTGTTTGGCTTTTAGGCTCCGTTCTTCGATTATGAATGCATCGCAGAGTGGCCATATAAATACTGATATTTTGCTGAAACTATAAATGTTTTGCTCCTTCTATTTCTGAAGAAGATATGCCCAGAAGCTAAACTACACGAAAATTAATGTTTTCTATGTTTAAAGCTGGAAATAACCATTCCGTGGTGGTCATCTATGCGACATCAGGTAGAATTTTCCAAACGGCAAAACATTTCAGCCCACTTAAACAAAGGAATCCCTATCTGCGTTATTACTGCATTTTAGGGCATCAAATCACACAGATCTGCTAATTTGAGATTTAAGAATTGATAAAACCTCTGGGTTTTTTAAAATAACCCTTGTCTTAGCAGGTTGTTCACTACGGTTTACATCGGACAGAAAATAAATTTTCAAGTTCGGCTTAATTTGTTTATTAAAACTCTTGCGGGTAAATTACTATCCTTTCAATGAAAAAGTCGCTAAGATGCGTAACCGGAGTCTAGGACACGTATTAGCATAGGAAATTGCACGAACATATTCCAACGTCCATTTTCGTTAAAATTTTCTAATATTTTACTTGATATAATTACGTAAACACAATTTCCGCACAAGACAAGGGCATTTTATTGAAGGAAGTGGAGGAGCGAACAAAATCCTTAACGTTAAAGGCCTCCAGAGATTCTGTCATCAGTTTCCGTTATCAGATTTCATGAGATAGGTCACGTACTGTAAATTTTATAGCCAGATTTCCTGCTCCGTAAGACTCTTCAATCTTTTTTATTAAAATAAACTTTTCAAAACTTCGACATGAAAAATGAAAAATGCGACTGTTCAATTCTCAAGTGGGGCTCATTTAGGCAATCACGGGGCACGTATCACTGAACAAAATTTACTGAATCCGAAAGCTAAAGTATGCTATCAGAGTCTGCGACTAATACTACCATTTCGCCACACGTGTTAATTACTCTTATTTATCAAATACTGTACGGCAAAATACAAGTCCTGGAATCTACCATTAATTATTTTATCTGAATCATTTGCTGTTAAATAAGTATAAGTGCAATGTCGTTTCGATATTTTATTTTAACTGATATTTTGAATATATGTTTTTAAAAGTTAAAATAATGCAAACGCTAACATGTTATTGGAGACCATGAGGAGGATTTTAGAATTTTTTGCATTTTACATCCCCAAATATCCATTATTGTTATTCTTTATTTGACCCCGAGCGCACGCAAAATATTATAGGCCTTTTTAGGCGTTAAAGGCAATAGTCTGTCAGATGTCTGCAGGGGTAATTTATTTTAACAGTATTGCAGCTAATACAATAAAGTTAGGCTATTGTCCCGGCCTGCAAACGTAAACCAATGCTTAAAGGGAGCCGCAGAACTTACCATTGTGAACTCCCGCTCAATTCTACTTTGGCGTGCTGACGTCCATTTAAACATATATTCAGTTACCTGTGATTTTGGAGAAAAGTTTCGACACACATCTTTTTATCGTATCGCCTGAAAATAGTTTTTAAAGGCGTTTTCCCTCAAAAGAAGAAGGTGCGATCACTGGAACGAGAATTTTATTGGCCTAACTTTTTGGATTCTCACTCGAGCTCATCATCAGATGAGGTCGCATAGAAGGTGTTACCTCTAATACCCATTTCATATGAAAGTCCTTTTAAAAATGTTTCACCCGAAGTGGGGGTTTTATCTTAGGGCTAAAACCCCTATGAACGCAAAGTGTTTGACGTACTTCCATCTCAAAGTGCCAAAGTGTTAATATAAAGGCTAAAAATAAATTAACACGTGCCTTTGTCTCCAAACTTGGGGGGGACTTACACGCCCACGAAGTTAGATGGTAAATATGTGACGGAGGAAGAAAAGTGCGACTAAACAAGATTTTAAATAAAAATGCTTCCGTAGACCGAAGGAGAGATGAATGGGTCCGAAGGTTCGAGACTATTGCTGTGAATCTTAAATCAGACTGTTTTTTAGTTGACCTTACGTTAAAGTGCACATACCATTCCCACCATTAGTAAGGCTGTTTAGATTTTGCACTATTTCGGAGAATTTCACACGGCGATTTCCACAGGGACAGAATTTACAAAGCCCAAGTACGTCATTTTACTTTATGAAAATTGCTGCCCAAAACGTAGGCAGCACATCCAGCTCCCGCTACCCGCATGCCCAAACAGACAGCGACAACGAATTCCAGCCTTCCATTGTAATATTAAAATAAAGGTCAAATATGCCTTTATGGTAACACTGTCTCACTAGGCCTGCCCTCATCTGATTAGCGGCCAGGTAGCACAAACAGATATCACACTGATGGCGATTTCAACCAATCGCCTTATCCTGCCACGATGGCTACTCATGACATTTCACTGGGCGGATCACTAGCGGTTGACAGGCCCATTTTCCGCTGAGTGCGCGCGTACCGGAGCAGCCGCTAAGGCAATTGGTCGGGAATATTGAGCAGGCAAACCTTAAAAGCACCAAAGTCTGATTCCATTCCACACTTACCTGGCGGTATTACGATGCCTTCACAGCAGACGACGACAGCTGCTGCTGCCGTGTACAAACGTCACCAGGGTGGATCACGAACGGTGTCCCTACTCATTAGTTTTCTGATTTTTACCTATTGTCTGCCAGCCGTCTGCGCCATGTCTCGCGGTCAACTTCTCCATCGCCTTCCAGATGAAGCCAGACCGGAAAGCCCCATAGAGAGCCTAGCTAGGAGACCCAGTCTGGAAGTTGACTTAGTCTGCGGGCCTCACCCCTTTGACCTCCTAATGTCTGGAATTCTGCGCTCGCTGAAGGATAATTCGGTGGAAAATACCCTAATAATTGCCAACGCGATGACGTCCCTCTACCGCATTCAGCCCAAGTTCTATGCATTCCTAATGCAATGCACTTCAGCGTGGAATCGATGTCAGCGAGAACAGCTAGAGAACCGGCTACTGGACAAACTGAGCGGCACAGAATCGCCCCTGCCCATACAACCGGCTGATTGGCAAATACAATGTGGAAAGGGCCTGAGTTTGTAAAGAGCAGAATCGACTCTATGAACTCATGCTGGCACTTTGTGGAGTAGAGCAGTGATCATGCAAACGCACAATGCTGATGACTTTTGTTTGTTCCAAGCTGTTCAGATTTACATATTCTCATTTGTTTTTTTTTGATAAAACCAGGTGATAATGAATATGATTTTGGTATTACGTAGACCAAGTAATTTGCTTAACGGAAGGCGGATTAACGCGGTTCTGTGAACAGCACGGTTTGTTCATATACGTTAGAATGAGCTAAAGATATGGAAGCATAGTAAGTAAAACGAGGCTTACAATGCTTCATGATCTAAGGATCAGCATTAGCGACGGGAATAATAATAATGTATTACTCATCCTTAAAATATTTCACTACCAAAGGCTCAAGAAAGGACGAATTAGGACGAGCCGCATAGGAATATATGTTGGAATTTCGGTTTAAAGTCAGCGAGTTTTCATGCGAATTTGCAGTCGTAAACGTGACGTTGGAAGCTTCTCATGGAAAAAATGCGAACCGCATTTTGCAAACGTAAAATTTTGAGTTGCGAGATTTAGTGAATAAAATATCATATAGAATATGTTGAATCAAACCCATTACTTTTGTTAGTAAAATACAATATATTCAATCGACGTGCAAACAGGCTCTTCATAGCAGCCCAGTCAAGAATGATCTCATTCACTGGCAAACTACTTATATGTTCACTATTTACTTCACAAAGCATATTCTGAACTTGAGGTTAACAGCGATTAACATGACTCGCAGCTTTGAACTGAATACCCGTGACAGCAGTATAGAAGTTCCCAAACATTCAAAATCTACAAGTTGAGACCCAATGTAGCGAACATTCCAAAACCATATTTCATTTTCAGCTCATGGTTGTCTTCAACTGGACATTTTATAATATGATCCGGGCAAAGGCCAACGCAGTATGGAAAAACATGTCGACAATCTACTGGTCCAATGGTATCAGAAACCAGTATGGAGTCTTTGCGTAGGGAACCTAGTGACACATAGTCGGTTCTTAGTGAATAAAGTCGTCTACACTTAAGTAAAAGGACATATTGAGCTGGACATCGTAGTTTACAAAACTGATTGGATGCAGTTCTGTTTTTAACGCAGGTAACTATTAATCAGCACGACGCTTATATCTGTAAGGCATGCCTAAAGCCCTTGGACATGGTGAATTGAATTTTCGTCCGACGTTAATTAAATGAATCACATAAACTATGAGTAAATGACCGGCGGGGATTATCAAACTACTACTACAAGTACTGTCTAATGCCCAAAAGCCGCGGAGTTCTGGCTCTAGGAAAGGTCACTCTGGCGTTCTCCTTAAACGTTTCACTGACCGCTAAGACAAAAGCATAATATCGCGCCTGGGTTGCACGGGATTAAACGCCAGCCGAATTCATTAACTGAAGATCATAAAGAACGTTTGTTTAAATGTATTTAGTATATAACGCAGTATAAACTAAATGGAGGTTGTTATATTCGATCAATAGAAAGTGGTCTGAAAAAAATATGTCCCAGTCGGATGGTGGCCTCTATCATTGCCAGGGAGACTTTTGAACGAACATTTAACAAAAGTATAGTGGATGTGCGGACTCATGAAATAATAATTGAAATCCTGAAATGCCTTTTTGACTCGAACAGATTACTAAGTGCCGTTGTGGCATTACTTACCGAAAAGCATAATCCTAAAAGGTTTTAAGTATTTTGGTATGTCGACTTCTGACGGAACTCCTTTTAGGCCTCTAGTGAAAAATACATGCCGGACAAATTGACTGCTTATATAGAATGAATTTTTCTTATTAATTTTTCATGCCATTATGCATTTAAGTAAACTTCATAAAAACCTCAATTCTTTTACGCATTTGGTATAAAAATACGTCTTAATTAAGATCTATACTCGCCGGAAGAGTAGAATTCGGTTTCAAAAAGCATCTTATTATGGGGTGTTTTAAGAGCGCCAAATGCTTGCTCATAAGACATCACGTCGCCGCATATACTAATGTTGCTTATAAAATATCCAATATGGATCAAATCCACTGCCACATTTTATGAACCCCAAAAAGTCTCCCGTCACTAGTGTATAGAAACACATGCTTTTCCGTATATGGAAAATATACGGCTTGTAGTTTGCATACCCCTAACGCAGGTCAGGTTCGAAATTATTCGCGAAATGTAGAGTTTTTTTAAAACTAATGTATACTCTTAATTCCAGCATGAAATTCGAAAAGGCGTAATTTATTACCAAACGAGTAAAAATGCATATTTTATGCATGCGTTCTATGAAAACCAATGAGAAAAATTCATGCCACTTAAGTAGCTATTTGTACTGAGTGTATTGTTAGCGGGCAGCCACATGGACGTTCCTACAAAAGCTGTCATCCTGCAATAACTTGAATATGTTGATATTATGGTGCAAGGGGATTAATATTACAAACCTACTTAGATAATCTGTTCGAGTCGAAAACACATTTGAGGACTTCAGCCAACATTTCATGAGTTAGAACATCTACTGTATGTGGACGGAAACACTCAGATCCATGGTCTCCTAAAGCCTCCTTTGGTCTATATAAGCACATGCGCCATTTACAAATTATAGAAACGACTCCTAAAAGTATGTTTCAGTCAGATGGTGGCCTATATTATCGTCAGGTACCCTCTGACTCGATGACGAGTTGACTGTGCATGGGCACGACTCTAGTACGTGGCATTTTATTCAGCACCTTCCACGAATCCTTCTCAAGAAGAACAGACGCAATGAACTAAAGATGTTGTGGCGAACAGCATGTTTTCCTTTGGTAAAACCTTGACCCAAGTTCCCGATGAACAGTTTTTAAAAAAGGAAGCTGAGTTCCACTGGGTTTTTTGTGAGAAGCAATTGCTTAACGTCTGCAGCGTAAAACGTGCCAGGTAACTTCTTGTTTCAACATTTCTTCAAACCCGATCTGGTTGATCGGACTGCGGGCTAGCGTGACTTATATATGCTTTATATCGGTTGATGCTGCCGGATTATGCGTAAGGTGGATTAAATAGGCCTTTCTGACACTGAAAGCGAGTTAACGCTAAAGTACTTATTTCTTTTCGTCGTTCTGACTCTAGCCTAAAGCGGATACGCATAAAACATGAGAGGGGGATAGAGTGTAAAGATGGCATTGGCGTAACCTTTCCTTCCTGTTGTATAAATACGAGACATTCGACGAGCCTTAAAGTACTTGTGGTTTCAAGCGGTCGGCAAAATTTAAGGCTGCAGCTGATTGAGGTGGCTCTACATGCGCATAAACACCAGCACGGTTGTGGATCGCGTAGACACAGTATTTACCAAGCCAAATACTTTAAGCGTGCATTACCAGACCCTGTTTTGATATTGCAAGATTATATATGCGAAAATGTAGACTGAAGTTGACATGAATTAACTTCACTTTCCTAAAAATGAAGTCACCTACAATACATAGTTGCTTCCTGGAGAAATTCTTAATCTCTGCCCCATACATGTCTCAGACATTTTTGCCCTTGCACAAAGTAAATCAGTCCAAATGAAGCTCTATGTGTACAGATTGACAACTGACATTTGCAGGTGAGCAGAAATCCACCAGTTTCAAGCTGGCATTTATCCGATGAAACCTCAAAAACTGGAGACATTTGTGATCTCATCTTCTCCGTCTCCTCAGAAGTTAAATGTTACCTTGGGGTAGATCAATAAGAATGATGTTTTGCAGGCAAAGTCCGATAATACGGTAGATAATGTGATAGATATCACTGATCCCCATAAATAGTGAGGAAAAAAATAACAACTGAAATAAAACAATAATTCTGACGAATGCGCTTTTGATCATGAAGCAGGCAAACAGTTGTCTGACATCAAATAATTTGAAAAAAATGTTGTACAGCATGCTCATGGAAGAAATTTTCTCAAACAGTTGAGTTTAATTTAGCACTGTCGTTCATCGGACGGACGTTAAATAGCTGAAGTCCAATAGACTGCATGTACAGAGCGTGACCGATCTCATGAAATATTGACTGGAATTTTGAAAAGCGTTTTCGATTAGGAAGGAATAATAATTTGGCGTTGTAATATTAATCATCTTATGCGATGATCTTATAATATTTTAGACTTATCTTACTGTTGGCTTTTAAATGCACCCTTTTTGACACCCTGCAGAAACGACGCTTGGTTGAAAATGACTACTTAAATGGCATGCACTTTTCGCAATGATTTTCGATAGTTTTATAAATTCAAATGTATTTTATAGAAAACGTCCGTTCGGTAGAAAATCACATTTTCTTCCCATTGTATGCCCTAAAGAAGGTTACAATTTGGTTTTAATCAAGCTTCTACTGATGAGGTTTTTGAGACTACGCGATGTCCATATATACAGTATCGCACATGAGAGTATACTAATGCTCCCCAGGAAATGTACAACATGGTTCGCACTCATTGCAAAATTTTATAAATTCTTTATGACAACTTCTTAAAGACATAGAGGAATGAAGGATTCCCCTTAAGCGGAAAGCATACACCTTGTAAACTAAAATCGGTAAGTGCTAATGCAAGGTCTGATCAGGGTCTAAATTATTCGGAAATCGGGAAACTTTTTCACAACTTGAATATAGGCTTTCTTTAGATATAAACCGTAAACAAAATGTACTTTTCCACCAAACGGGTAAAAGAAGGCATATTTTCATGCATGGCTTTTATAACATATATTTGAATTTATAAGACCACAAAAAATCAATGTGAAAATATATATGCTACTTAAGCAGTCATTTTATACCAAGCGTCGTCTCTTCAAGGGGTCGAAAAGACGTGCATCCAAAGGCCGACATCGTAGTAAGTCTTAAATATTATAAGATTATGCCATATAACGAATGATTTTACAACGCCACCTTATTAATCCTTACTAAACGAAAACGCATTTCACACCTTCAGCCAACATTTCTTGAGATCGGCTACGCATTGTGCTCACCTCTAAAATACAACATGGCTTGTTGTACG